AGTGAGAGAGAGAGATGGTCATTGGTCATCTTCAGTCTTCCACTCAAGAACAAGAGAAAAGTTCAGCTCAGCTCTTACTGAGAGAGGCGCAGTGGCGATAAAAATCCTGGGTCCAAGAGACTTTTAGCTACAATCTGCGCTTTTCAATATCCATAAGGAGGCTTATTAAATAATATATATAATTTGATGAAAAAATAAAATATAATTCCTCTATTATTGTTAGGTTCTTTTAATTTGTTAACTGCCCAGAATAGTGCATTGCAATAATGTGCAGGAAACAAACAAACAAACAATTAAACAAACAATTAAATAAACAATTAAATAAACTTTGACAAGTAGGAAATTGAACGCCAAGCTTTAATAGCAAAAGCCAGCCTCGGTATTTACAATGCCTGTGTCATCAGTCAAAATGCTCTAAAGGTTCTGAAAAAGATTCCAAGCGAGGGAAAATCTGGTTCGTTGACTCGTTTTTCAGTCATCTAACCAGTTTTGACCTAAACAGAATAAAAATCATGGCTAGAAGAAGGGAACTCAACCCAGGAAAGAAAAGATTTATCACTGATATGACAGTTTGGGACAGCAGTTGTAAAACCAGACAACTTTTACAAGCTCTGGTTCTAAACCCAGAGGCCATGGGCTGGAATGATGAGCCTATCAGATCCTGATGGACAACTGACGCTCCCTAGGGGGTCCTGTAAGATTTAAAGACCTCCAGGGCAAAGAGAACACATTCTATGATCCATCATGTATGGTTCATTATCTCTGTAAAGGGTTAATACCAGAACAAAACCAAATAATCAGTCACAAGCTGTTTGTAAACTCATCTGGGTATCTCATGTTAAGTCTTCATTGCTGCAATAATTGCAGGCCACCCCAGAACTTGTTAATTCTATACAAGTATTTCTTCACATCATTTCTAGGTTCCGTATGAAAAACAAAAAATCCAAAAATATTACAGACATGCAACTTTTGAGAAGTCACAGGTATGTTGCTTTGTCTTAAAAATCTTCCTTACAGCAATGAACAAAATTGCAGGCACAAAAACTTTAACAACTTGAAAAGTGAGTTTAGGTTGGGCTTGAATACAAAACATAGGAATGTTGAAACACATGTGCTAATATCCTCAAATATGTTGGAGCATAAGTACAATTAAATATAAAAAAATAATATTTTAAGCTGCATTCTGTAATACAGGAGCAGCTTCGTTAAGAGTACAGCCTCTTTCAAGAGTAAAAATGAACAATAAATGTTTCTAGCCAAATAAGGCTAGGAATATACCTTTATATTTCATTTAAAAGCAAAAAGCGATACAGCTTTGAAAGCTTCAAAAGCTTTTTTAAAATGCATTAAAGAACATAAGAGGTCTTACAATAAGAAAGTAGAAGTGAAAAAGCATTATATAGCTCTAAGCATGTAGCTGACACACACACAAAATATTTTCTCTAAAAGAGAACAGCTCATCCTTCTTTCTTAGCCTTCATCTCTGTTATTCCCCTGGCTATCTCCTGGCCACTCTCAGTCAGTCTGCATGTTCCCACTTGTTTGCAAAAAGCAATTGCAGTAACTTCCTTAAAACCATATTTGGACAGTACAATACATTTTGAATGCCAGCTTCCTGCATTTTACATTTAAAATGTTCAATTCACGAACATTATGGAATACTTCATGAGTTCATACTCATTTTTTTAACCCAAAGGAATCATTAATTACTTCTTAGGAGGCTAAAACCTTATAAACAAATTGCACTTTTGTTTTTCGTTTCTACTTGCTTAACAAGAAAAAAGCTATCCCAAACAATATTCATTTTTCTGTCTCCTTTTACTCTGTTTTGTAAAAGCTTCCGAGCTTTCCTGGAAAACCACTAAGGCAGAACATGGGAAAATACTTCTGTGGATGGTAACGCCTGCAGCCCTCTTAGCCTGCATAGCACTTGAAATGACAACTGGAGATTCTGTAATCCAAAAATGGAACTTTGAGATGTTCTGAGGAAAAATGTTTAAGGAAGTGTAAGTGCTCTCAGTTATCGGCCTATAGAGATTACTTAGAAGTAAGCCTGATAACCTCCTGCCAACCTAGCAGTTTGAAAGCATGTAAAAAAGCAATTAAATAAATAGGTACACCCATGGTGGGAAGGTAACAACGTTCCATGTCTATTCGCGTTGGCCACGTAAACACGGAGATTGTCTATGGACAAACACTGGCTCTGTGGCTTGGAAAGGGGGAGGTGCACTGCCCCCTAGGTAGGACATGACTGGACAAATTGTGAAGCGGAACCTTTACCTTTTGAAGCAGGACAAGTTTCTGGAGCCATCTTAGAATGGTGTCTTCACTTTCTGGAACTTGATATTTGAGTCCATAAAACATATTTCCTGGCTACAAAGGCTGGCTCAGAAGAGTGCGGTTTTTGGTTAGTTCAAGTGAGATTGCCAGAGCCCTGATGATATAAATTGCCTTTCTAAAATCTCTGGAGGTTCAGTCAGAAAAGGCCTGCTGGTTGAAGGCTGGTGTTAACACTCCTTTGCAATTTACCCTCCAATCTATCCACCCTTTGATTTGAGCCTTCTTGTCCAAACTGAGCTGGAGTGGTCTGGCACCAGGAAAGATCTTCCACCTTGGCTTTGTTTGGTATTTGCCTTATCAAGCAGCAGAGCCTCCTCCTAAGCCTTCTGGTGGCCTTGCATACTTGGTCAATAATTTATGATGGTCTGACTGTTCCAATGCACAGTGAAATATCAAAGGACAATACAATGACTAAAAGACCCAGAGGGCTAAATGCTGGTTACGTCGGGGGGTCTCAGAGAATATCTAGTAGGTCTCAGCCCTCAGGTATCCTGATTTCTAGGAGATTTTAGAAGGATAACAACAGCAAGAGGGAAGTTATTTGTCAGTAGGATTTTCTGCCTTAACTGGTTTTTTTCCTGGACAGTATTCATGCCTAATATCTTACTGATTGCACTGTTGCTGTTGAATGGGATTATTTGTGACTATATTTCCATGTCAGTTCCCATGCCATCAATGTTCATTCAATATTTCAAGCCACAGAGCCCCATTTGTTTACTCCCTCTCCCCATTGCCAGTTTTTTACTTCTGTTCTGGATCTCTGGAATCCACAGCAGCCCCTCTTCTTCCAAAGAGGTTTCCAGTCTAACCAGTATCACTGTGCACACCCACTTATAAAAGGCCCTGACAGAGAGATGGTTTTGAAGGGGTTGTGTACAAATCTAGCTACCTTGATTTCCCTGATGTAAGAGGACAAAGATCAAGAAAAGACCCGTTCTTTGAGGTTTGCTAATGGTCCATCCTTAAACATCACGGTGCTATGTGTAGAAGAGTCATGAGCTAGAATGTTCTCCCTAAATGTGGGGGAGCCAGATGGTTTTCAGCTGCAAACGTATGGCTGATATCTGAGGTAGAGATGATTCATAAATTTTACCCCTGCATAAGGATACTTGGAAGACTCCCTGCCTCAGTCAATTTCTGTGGAGTTTGTTGGTCTTTTTGTTGGCCCTACTCTAATTGGTTAAAACCCAGTTATGTGAAGGATTCCCCAATATGTTTCTAAAAGATAGATCAGAAAAATACTCATGAAATTGCTTGTCCTCTTAAATTTAGACTGCTTCGATTCATTATACATGTATATATAGAGAGATCATTTAGAAAGCTCCACAAAAACTGATGTCTCTGACCAAGAGTGAGATGAACAATTGCTTTTGAGGACAAGTGACAATGTGTTCTTTCAGGTGCATATTAGGACCCTACATTGATTCCTGTCTATTATGTTCAGTGCATTCAGTCTTGTTTTTCCTCTAACATTTATATAAATAAAACAGGTTTTTCATAATGTTTAAGAGATATTTTTAAATAAGAAACTTATGTGCAATTGTAACCAATGTTTAGGTTAGAACATCTGTACATGAGAATAAAATAACAAATTCTTATGTTTGTGATGATGGCAGTGGTTTATGTCTCTCAGACCAAGTGGAAGGTTTGTGCAAACTGAAAGGCACCTGGGCACCTTTTCACACAAAGTTTACATTGGTGCAGTTCTACATGGTATTAATTTTTGGTAGGGTCTTGAACTTCTCCTAGAAATAATACATCATTGTCAAAAGTGATTACTTGGAGAAAGGGCCTGTTGAATCTGATTACAATGGGGCGGGAAGTTTGAATCATTTCCAGCAAGGTGGCTACTGCAGCTTCAGTGTCATTCTCATGGACATTTAGGTAAGTTTTATGAATAGCCTACAAGGAGAGAAAGCAATAATTAGTATTGACACTTCCCCAAATGTTATTATACAATTTATTTCTGGTGCTTCAAAATGCAGGTATGCAATGTATTCTGAGGCTTTGTTTCCATGTCATATGTCCCCTGATCTATTGATATTAATTGCCCAACATAAGAAAATAAGAGTTAGATTGGATCAAGGAAAGGTCTGTCTAGTCCAACACTTTATTTAAACCTAGTGGCTATTAATAACTTAGGGAAACTTGCCAGCTGGACATGAATGGAGTTGCTCCCTTCATCTCACATTCCCAAGCAACTGATCTACAGAAACGTCTAGTCTCTGCTCTCCAAGCACCACGACTGTCAGCCATTTGTGGGCCTACCTGTTGTTGAGGACCCAAACCAATACTAAGTGGAGCGGAGAGGAAAGAAACCAACAATTAATATGCATTCGCGAAGGCTTTCACATCTGGGATCTAATGGTTTTTGTGGGTTTTTCAGGCTCTTTGGCCGTGTTCTGAAGGTTGTTCTTCCTAATGTTTCACCAGTCTCTGTGGCCGGCATCTGCAGAGGACAGGAGTAGCACTCTGTGCTCTGGTGCAGTTAGTTGGAAAGTTGAGTATTTGTAGCTGTAGGTTCAGCTTTTGTCCTATTCAGGAGATGGGTGATAATGGTGATCAGTGTGTTTTTGTTGTGGATCTATTGTTGTAATAAGGAGGAGAGATTATCTGTCACTGTGCTTGATGGGTGTCGTTAGCTGGTCTTTTGTGTGTAGCGATCACCAGTCCTTGTGGCTTGGTAGAGTTTGTTACCTTTTGCAGGTTGTATGTTTCAGTGCTGGGAGCCAAGCTTTATTCAGTTTTAAACTTTCTTCTTTTTTATTGAAACTCTGCTGATGTTTATGGATTTCAATGGCTTCCCTGTGCAGTCTAACGTAATGATTGCTGGTGTTGTCCAGTACTTCAGTGTTTTGAAATAGAATTTCATGTCCAGCTTGTTTTAGGGTTTGTTCAGCTACTGCTGATTTTTCCGGTTGTTTTAGTCTGCAGTGTCTCTCATGTTCCTTGATTCTGGTGTGGATGCTGAAGCAGGAAAACAGCCACCCACAAATAAAGTATTTCTGCAATACGTCAAAGGGGCCACGGACCACATGGGAAAACTTTTGAAAAAAACACAACCTACAAACAGTATTCAAGCCTGCCACAAAAATACAACAAATGTTATGGTCAACAAAAGACAGAAGGGGCCCCCTCACCA